GCTTTTTTGCTTTCTGCTTTTCTATCAAGGTGCGAATCTTCCCTTAGATTTAAAGAGTTTGTTATATGTTACGCGTAAAATAATCTTAACAATTGTTCAAATTATATTTTTACGTTTAATTATTGGCAGAAGCGTCTATGAAACAAGCTGAAGCAGCATTATTAAAAGCCCAAACTGAAGAACGACGACTTGAATTGGAAGAACAACAAATGAGATTTGAAGAAAAAAAACGTCGCATAGATGAGCAACTTATTCAAGTTATAAATAACTTGCAAGAGGTATTAAATGAAAAGTTAATGAAGTAAAAAAGTTATCTTTATTTTATAACATTAATATATACTATTAAACATGTATATGTATATATTTACAATAAAACATGTTATTTCATATTCTGCCATATTCACGAGCAATGAAACGTTCTTGTATACGAGTAGCAAGTGCCCGTCCTTGAAATACGTTGCCTCTATCATCTTGTTCGACAGCCACATTAGGCCTATTTTATGAAATGCAGCCACTTCATTTTCATCAACTTCTACATCGTATAAACAATTTTGGATTCTCATATTATGCAAGACAGCGCATGCATTGACTATTTTATCGGCCATGTCTGGTTCGTACATTAGACGTCTCTGTGCCGATAAACAACGAAATACGGCTTTCCACACGCCGAATAATCTTTCAACGCATGATCTGGTGCTGCATAAATCGTCATTATATTGAAACCTTGGTGTATTTGGTTGTTCATGTTTTAAGGGAGTCATTAACCACGGTTCGAGACTATATCCGTCATCACCTGTAACAAAAAAATATTAATTTTTCAATTACCATTATTTATCCATTATATGTAAGTTAAAATTATCTATTCACTATATTGTGCTATTGTAATTTACCAATCAACCAAGTATTACGTTCTCCATTATTAAATCTACGTTCCATAATACGGCGTACTGGTGAATTCGACCATATATATGCGTCATGTCGTGCGCCGGGGTATTGTGCATTCACATTTAAAATTTTGAGATCAGGATCGCAGATCTAACAAAAAAGTACAAATTTATATAATTATAAATCGTATTTTAATTTTATCACATACTTACAACTTGTGCATTGATTGTGTGATTACCCCAATGGTTGACATAAGCTTCTTCATGCCGGATCGGCCCTTTTATGTTAATATAAATACTTACAGTCAATTGCCCCAATAGTACCCATAAATGGCTGGGGTGCAACTCTAAATTTTTCTCTGGCAATATGACGTTCAATATCAGTCAAGGGAAATCTAACCCATTGTCGCAGTAAGGTATTGTTGATAGCATCAGTCACTTTACGTACGTAGCGGCTGACAGATGGTTGACTAATCGCAATATCCCACTGTTCACCGATTGCTCCTTGAAAATAGCCAATAGCATAAAATCTGAGCGCAGTTAAAACCTGTGAGGAAATATTTATATTTTGTGATAAGAAAAAAAATATAACCAAGTATGATTGTCTAAGAAAATACAGTTTCTCAATTATTATTTAATAATGTAAGGGTGATGTCCCATGCAGCAGATCATACATAAGCGGATTCGCGTGTCGCCAATCACAGAATTATTATCTTAGATCTGTTTGCAAATTTCGCAAGCATATCTAAGAGAATGATTCTGTGATTGGCGATACGCGAATCCGCTTATGCACGATCCGCTGCATGGGACATCACCCTAAAAATACAATTATATGCTCTCTTTCTCTCTCTCTTTCTCTGCTAGTAAACTTGACACGTTGCTTCCTGGATATATTTAATAAACGCAAAATAAAAATTAATATCTGTATATACCTGACGTTCAGGGCTGATTCCATTTATGCGATTTCGATTCTCCAAATTTGGTCTTAAAATATCTGTTAGTTCCATTACAATGTTTGGAGTTAATCTGTATAATTGTACAAATTCACTATCGTGCAAGTCAAATGGATCATGTAGCTCACGCCAATTATATCTTTGTATTTGACATTCTAATCGTCCTTCTCTATGTTCCAGATAAAGGAGATCCCAAGCAAGATATTGTTCTGCCATTATGATTTCCAAAACTAAAACAAGATTTGCTTCGTTTTAAGCGAGAGCTTTAAATGGTATACCATTTATTTATCATGTCTTAATAACAATTACAAATAAAATCTTGTGTATATGTATCATGGCTGTATATGGATGGTAATTATACAGAATAATATCTTCAAGAATAATTAAGGTATTACTTTTGGAAGCTTGAAATAAATATTCGAGCAATTATTTGTATTTTACAACTCCTACACAATTTTACTAAAATTTGTATATCTTTTTATCCCTAATAATATTATTTCATATATTTCATGTCTGGTAATTATTTACAATACGTCTCTTACCTCCGATTTCGATGAAATTAGGCTTATTCGACACGTTTTTGCACAAAACGAAAGAATCTGTAAGAAAGAACGTTGGGACGGCCCTGCGAACCGAGATATTAAAGTTTTTTTTTTTGGAGTGTCCCTCGGATTGAGGGAAAATACGCGCCTTGTGTCCTAACTTTTGGACAATATGACGCAAAGAAAATCCAATTTATAACAAATCACTAAACAACAATACTATAAGATAAAAAGACATAATACTAACTTCAACGAAAAACTATAACTCTTAAATAATTCTATTTGTTTTCTTTATATAATTAAAAATAACTCTTAACGTTGACCAAATCTCCGATTTAATGAGCTCACACACGTCGACGTGGTGGAAAACTTTTCTTAACCTCAATTCTTGATCTAACCTAAATCTCAATTCGTCGTATCTACTGCATTGCCAAATAAAATGATCCAAACTCTCTCTTTCGTAATCACACTCACATCGTTCACTATCAACATAATTTTTCCTATACAAAGAAACCCCTAAATTATAATGATTAGATCTAATTCTATTTACAAAAGTAATAAAATAACGCTCTTCATTCATCTCACAGAACCAAGGCTTTGTTTTATTGATATCATAATAATTTTCAAAATAAAATTTTCCTTTATACAATTCCTCCCTTGTTATCGTTTCTTGTGTATAGTTCCATGTTTCTGTCTTAAATACTCTTCTTAAATCTTGTATCGGTACATATATACTCCTATCCTCTTCTTCCGATGCAGCTTCTTTGGCTAATTCATCCGCCGTTTCATGACCTAAAATGCCAATATGCGATGGCACCCACACAAAAACAATCTTACTATTATACATCCTCTTGAGTCTGTAATGCATGTTTCTGATTTCTGTAATATAGCAATTCTTATAAACACTTAATGATTATTTTTGATGGCCTCCAAAACCGATTTGCAATCGGAAAAAACTATCAAATCCATACAATGCTCCAAGTTCCGATTTATAATGATCTCTAAAGCAGCCTTGATAGCAAAGGCCTCAGCAGTATAAGACGAACAAAGTTTATTCAAGCTAACTTTATACGCATAATCTTGATTTTCAAAGACAATACTAGCTCCAGTCGATCTAGACTGTTCTCCTCTTGAGCCGTCTGTATATATAACTGTATGATAACTGAGTCTCGATCAAGATCATAAAGCTCCGTAATTACCTGGATCATCTTCATATCAGTGAATCCCTTTTCCGACTTTCTTCTCATTCCTACCAATGTATCAATTTCTATCTTTTCAGTAAGTGCATCATATGAACAATCAAAGATCTCAAACTTCTTGGGGGGACCAATCATCAATCTCAGCTGAACTATTCTCTCCCATGCTTTAACAATAATGCATTTAGCCAAATGTGGCTGACAGCATATTTGTTCCAATCAGTCTTCTTAGTAGTAATCCTATTAGTACGCTTACTATATATCCCTCGATGAGTCGCCAATTTAAAAACAATTGGAAAATGATCACTATCCCATGTATCATCTAGCTGATTATACTCAATATTATCCAAAACAGCAGAGCAGAATAATAGATCCAAATTAGAGTCTCTCTCTCCAATAGCTCCAATACGGGAGGATGTATCCATATTAACACACATAAAATCCCTGCGTTCCATAGCCTCTTGTAAAGATTCCCCAATAGTATCCATATATTCACAATTCCACAAAGTATTATGCGCATTAAAATCTCCTAAAAAAATAGATTCACAGCCACCTGGATCAAAATCAAAAAGGGGCCTAAAGTCATTGACCCTGAGAGAGCCTCCTGGTCAATGATACACAGATACAACATTAAAATTGATACTCAGATTAATGGTTCTAATTCCAAGAATATCAAATCCACCATCCAAACCCCGGAAACCGGAAATTATGTTAAAATCTATATCTTTCCGTATTGCAATTGCAAGACCTCCACTAAGGCCTCAACTCGATATCTGGTACGTTCTATATCCTGAAATATAGACTCCACTATTATGCGGGCATTTAGTTTCCATGAGCACAATAACATCATATCCGTCAACGTTTCTCGAAAGCTCCTGTTTTTTATTTTTATATCCACGGCAATTCCACAAAAGGATCTTAATTATAATAAATATATAAAAATAAAATAAAAAAAATACAAAAAAGAGATATACAGGGTGGACCATCTGAAGTGATCCAGTCAAATATCTCGAAAACTAGTAGGGATAGAGAAAAATGTTTCGTATGAAAAGTTTAGGGTTACACGGGGGAAGTATGGTACTGACCTTGAAAAATCCTTGGAAGGTCATTTTGAAGGTCATTCA